AGTGGTTGGGAAATGGAAGATCTAATTTTAGATATACTATGTTAAAAAAAAATAACTTATAGAGCATCCCGGAAGTTTTTTTTTTCCAAATATTTATTTAGTTGTAAATGAACACACGGTATCTTTATTTATTTTTATGTGGTGCTAATGATTGAACCCAGTGCCTCACACATGAGAGGCAAGCACTTTACTACTGAGCTACAGCCTCAGCCCCCATCCCGGAAGTTAATTTTTTTGAAAATAATTCCAGAGATTTCTTTTCAAAATATGTTATTATCATTAGCTGTACTCATACACATAAATGGCAATATGATGACTTGTGCCTGCTTTTTATTTAAACTCTGGAAAGTTCAGGGGAGAACACTCTTAAGAATATTGAAGTGACATTAGAGCAGCCAGAAGTGAGATTTCTGAAAAAGTAGTCAAAATATAACAATGATATGTCAAGAATTATACCTTTTAAAAAAAAGTAGCTGAAATCATCACTTCTGTACTACTCAGTAAGTTTGGAGACCACTTACTCTCTTATTAGAGGTCTCTGTTCTGGAAGGAACTTTATTGTGAAGATGAGAAGGGAGAACTTTTAAGGAACCTTGCAAGCTATTGCATTTTCTGGTAACCTTATACATTAGGTGTATGCCTTAAGCTTTCATTGTGATAGTTTACTTAGGTCTTGGACCATCACCTTAGTTCATTTGTGAGAATGCTATTCCCTTTAGGGATATAATCTAACTAATCTTTTGGTGCTTCTTTTTATTTCTCTCTAAAACTAATGAGTGTAGACAGAAACATCCAAGACAGTCTATACATGAGACTGAATCTGATGAATGAGTATTGTTTGGTTGTAATAGGTTTCAGTTACAACACTCTGCCTAAGTTGAAGGGGATGATGCATGTAAAGGTAGGTTTAACTCCAGTTCCTTTGTCTCTCAGTTACCTTGTTACCTATGGAAACATTCATAGTTACTATATACTTGTGAATTTTTCTAGAGATAATACCTATATGTAGAGGCATATGATGTGTTTACCTTTTTCTTTCTATTTTAGAAAGACACCTGAATGGTTTTAAACATTGTTCTATGTCTGGCTTTTTTTCATGTACTCTATCATGGGTATTATTCCACCTCAGTATACATAGAGCCATCTTCTTTGTAATAACTACCTAGTGTTTTTTTTATATCCTATTTTTCATTATCCTACTTCATTTCTTTTTTCTCTTTCAGTTTTTTCTTCCATTTCCTTCTCTCCCCTGCCTTTTCAATTAAATAATCCAATACAGACAACAATATGGTGTCATTTATGGAGACTTGTTAGCTGGGATTTAATCTTTATTTTGAAAGGGATTTATATTCACACCAATTACTATGTTTTAGGCACAGGTTATTTTTTCATAAGAAATAGCTTTCTTGTATAGGAACATGTATTTTAAGACTTTTGTTTTAAATTTTCCAGATGTGAAAAACTTAAGAGATTGACATTATTCTTAAAGAGTCTTCTCTATTCTCACAGGTTTTAGTTCAGGTCCTAATTTTCTTCCAGTTGTACTCTCATAATCTGTTTAACCAGTTCCCCATAGATGGGCATTTGGATTGTACATAATTTTACCTTTTTTCATTATATCATTTCATACTTTTGCAAATATATTTGAAAAAACACATTCTTTCAAAACTATTGGGTTAAAGAATATATAAACTTACGGATTTAATAGATATTGTCCACTATAAAGTGAAACTGATATATACAAACACAGCATACAAATGCGTGCTTCTCAACATACTAGATCATTAAATTAGTGAATTACTGACCTTTATAAGTCTAATAGAAAAAGGGATATAATTACCTTTTTTTTATTTTTGGCAGTGCTGGAGTTCAAACTGTGAGCGTAGCACCTAATAGGCAAGCATACACTACTGAGTTCCACTTCCTCACCTTTTCTTTTTTTAAATGTTTTCTTTTTTAGTTGTAGTTGGACACAATAGCTTTATTTTATTTATTTTTCTGTGGTGCCGAGGATCAAATCCAGTGCCTCGCATATGCAAAGTGAGTGTTCTACTGCTGAGCCACAACTGCAGCCCACTGATTATACTTTTAATTGGCATTTCTCTTACATTTGAGGTTGAAAATGTTTTTAATAAATTTGAGCTTTTTGTATATTCTTTCTATTAACATGCCTTCCTGTGTAGTTTTCTTTTGAGTTCTGGATCTTTTTCTTACTGATTTGAAGGTACTCTGTGAAAGTTAAGGAAAAGCAAATTTGTGAACTGTGATATTCTGACTTGTTTTGTTTTGATCTTTGTCAGAAATTGTCTTATTTTTTTATAATAGTTCTTCAGCAACTTTTCAATTACTGTATAAAAATTTTTTCTGAGGTCAAATGTATTTTATAGCTTTGGATTTTGTCTTATTCTCAGAAAGGCAATGCCAACTTTGAAATAATAAAACAAAATGAAACCTGCCTTTTCTACTAATATTTTTAGTGTTAATTAGATTTTAAAAAAATTTTTTAAATTTAAAAAATTTTATTTTTATAGTTCTGGGGATTGAACCTAGGCTCTTGCATGTTCTGATAAACGTGCTTTACCGTTGAACTATACCATCACTCCTGACCCCAGTTTTAAAACTCCATCTAGCTTTTGTTTTAATCCTCATTTTCTCCAATGATGTACAGTGCCACCTTGAGCTTATACTAAATTTCTACATTGATTTGGATTTTTGGATTGTCCATATATAAGTGCCATTTTTAAAGTTAACTATTGAATTATGGCTTGAAATATTTTAAGACTTTTAAATAATTTTTGTTTATTCTTATTTATTGTTCCATGTGAGCTTTAGAATTATGTATGGTTTTGTTTTCTAAAATTGCTGGTATTTTAATTGATCTCATGTGATATTTAAAGATATTTTTAGGGAGAAAAAATTTTTGTAATGCTGAGTTTGTTTAAGAACATGGTATTTATTCACATTTTTTCATGTCATTTTTTGTTCCCTAAGCATTAAAATTTTCTTTGTATAACTCTAATTATTAGATTTTCCTGGCATTCATTCATATTATTTGCAAATGGTAACAATATTTCCTCTTTTCTATATTTTATGTGTTTTCTTGACTAAATTACATTGGCCTGTACCTCTAGCACAGTGTTAAACTTTTGTGGTGAAAATAGATATTCTTATTTTGTATCTTTGGCAGGAATGGTGTTCTGTAATCATGAAGGAGTATCATTAATATTTCGGTTACTCTTAGGTTTGTCTTTTCCACATACTCCCGTCTTCTCTGTAGTCATTCTCTTTGATAATTCTGGGGCTTTTCTTTTGATTAAATATTTAAATAACCTATGAATTGGTAGGAGGATAGGAAGCAGGTATATGTGGAAATTAGGGAAGTTGTTAGTGGATTGGAGACTGAATCACCGTAGAGTTTTATAGGCTGACATTTCAGAATCATCCAAGATCTGTAATGATAGCATAAATACAGAACTAATCAAAGCATATAGAGAAGATAAAATTGATATTTAATGTTATCATTATTTTGATTGAATTGAGTAGGTTATTGCATTTATTAAAGCCATTTTAAGAGTATAAAATTCTATGGCAAAGCATACAAATTCATGCTAATGTTTACTTTAGACTAAGATTTAATTTTGTCAGCTTTAAGTGCCTGTGTCACTATTCTACTCAGGTAAAATGATTATCTCATTATAGAATATGTAATTCCAAAAACTTCAGTATCATTGAAGTAGAAATAGATACTGTGGATATTTAATGCCTTTTCCTTTGTGTATATAATTGCTTTCACACTACTTTTAATCATTTCAATAAGACACATGAAATTCAATCAATTGAAATGTCAATTTTAAGAGCTCATTGGAATGAAAATGAAAACATTACTGTACCTACATCTTGAAGATTATAAGAAGATTGCTAAATTAGATTTTATGTTATTGTGGTACTAATAGAAATGAGTCCTTTAAATTAAACAGAATTTAATGGTTTACTCATTAAACTTTAGTTGGACGATTCTCCTAGGGATGTAGTAAGGTCATCTATAAATGTAAAGTTCTTGCTTACTTGTTAAAGCAAGTGGAAAACGTTGTGGAAAAACATTGTTTTTTGTTTTAGTGGATTCATATAATAGAAATTGGAGGAATAGGGAAAAATATGAGAATGAATAGTGATAGCGTTCCTTGAGGAAACTTAAATAGAGCCCCTCCCTCACTTACAGTTAACATGAATTACTTGAATGACTTAATGTTTACAACATAGTTTTAATTCCTTAAATGGAAATTATTTTATTTCTATTTTAAAAAAAATAACTCTGGCTCTTTCCTAGTCTCTCTGTTTTACTGAAGATAAAAGGGGTTTTTTAATGGTTTATTTCCTGTAAGTAATTCTTTGGTGGGAAGCAGGAAAAGGCAGATGTCTCTGGTTTTCTTTTTTTCGCCTTTCACTTTCTTTTCTCCTGCATATAACAAATCCTAAAACAGATTTGAGAGGTTGGGAAGTTTTGTTATTTGTAGGGAAGGGCTAGGATAAAATCACTCAAGACAAAGAATTCCTTGTAAAATTTCAATATATGGTTAAACTGAGACTTTTAATTTGGAAGGAGATCATAATAGTTCATGTGATTTTGCTCCCCCTATCATTTTACTCTTTATGAAATAAAGAAACCATCTCAAAAGTTTAAGAGAAAAACCCTGAGCAAACTACTGCACACCTTGCATTTGCTTGCATTGGCTGTTTTAGATGATCAGCTCTTAGAGGATCTGGACTATGAATTGTAACATCCAGTCTGAATTAAACTGCATATAGGTGTCTTTTTTTTTTTTTTTTAATCTTTTGTCTCCTTGCAGTCTGTGCTTTTCTTTATTTTTATATACTTTGTGACAGAAATGGAAAAAAATCATATATAATTATCCTATTTTCCAAAGATTCTTTGTTCAACTGAATTTTTAAAAATATGTATTTTGTCTAAATTAAGTTTTGTCTCTTTGTTCCCTACATAGGCCCAGATTGCCTTTCTTCAGGGGGAAAGGAAAGGTCAAGAAAATTTGAAAAAGGATCTGGTGAGGAGGATCAAAATGTTGGAATATGCTCTTAAACAGGAAAGGTAAATCAATAAAATGGAAGGTTGTGTTCTCTCAAATGACAAAATAATTTTTCCATCTTTCTTGAAGTAAATCCAAATTTTAATGCTGTATAATCTTGAATTAAGGAGTATCTGTAATAAACATTTTTATATATGGTTGTAATATACTAATCTTACTATGGTGATCAGTAAACTGATTCATATGATTTCAAATCGTTTTCCTTTCTTAAGAAGTGTTTGTACTTACTGAACTGTCATTATCCATTTTTAAAGGGCTAAAATAGCTTTTGAATTGTAAATTGTGTCTATAAAGTTTCCTGTGATTTAATATGAATTTGATATAATTTCTTAAAAAAATTGATCAGATCTGGCAGCCTATGCTGAGAGTTTCATAGACTGTTTTTGGCATTTTATTGTTTTGTCATCAGCTATTCCTTTCTCTCTAGAAGCTAATTTTACATTTATTTTGCTAGTGTCTAAGATATGTAAGTAATGATATTTGTGTCACAAGTTAAGAAAAATAGGTCTTGAATGAGAGTTTTGCAGGTTATATGGATTAAGTTTATATACTTCAGTGGATGGTCTTTTTGTGTGTGTGTGTGTGTGTGTGTTTATGAGAAGTCTAAGGCAGTTCATTGCTTTAGGTAATTAAATATTTGGTAGTTGATATTGAAATTCTTTATTGCCAGTTTTTTGCTTTGTTTTGTAAATCACTTATTTTTTGATGTTGGTAAATGGGCTATTTGTAAAACTGCCATAAAATAGAACTTAGGTAGTATTTATGAATATTGAGACATAAATATTTTTATTAGAACTTGTGTTCATCTTCATATAAGATCATTAAATAGTGCCAGACTTTTTATCTCTTAGTAAAAAAAAAAAAAAAAAAAAAAAAAGTTGGTTTTTTTTTTTTTCATACTTTGAGAGGTTGGTTGAAAGTTGGAGAGATAAAAAGAAAAACATTTTTTGAAGTATGTAATCTTGGAATTTTTGACATCTTAGGCTTTCTAAATTATAGATTTAATCAAAGAAATAATATTAGCATTAATAATGGTAAATATTTTTTTAATAACTACTGTGTTCTAGGCCCTAAAGACTTAGAATTAAGTAATATGCTTAGAGAAGCAGAGTTATAGTAGAACTGAGTTAGGTTCCTCAGGATTGGTTCTAAAACCTGTATTGTTTACTAGCATATTATACTGTCTTGCAAGGTAGGAGAACTGAAATACACAAATACTGAAGTAACCAGAGCAGGTGCATGGGAGTGTATTCAGACTTGTAAACCACTAATGTGTATGAAGTGTGATAGTTTCTATGGTAGATGTAAGTATAGGCTATACAAGGGGTCACAAAGAAGGAACTCGATATTATGTGGAAGTAGTAAGGAGGGCATAATTAGAGGAGGTGAAGCTTCAGTAGTAACATAGATAATAAGAAGGTACTTGCCAGTTAGGCAAGGTGCAGAAAGTAGAACATGTTTGACCTGGAACAAATCCTTTTGGTGTATTCAGAAAATTGTAGTCATTAAGTGTAAAGAGTAGGGTGTTAGTTGTGATGTCATCACTGATAACATGGTAGGGGAGGGCCAAGTCAGATCATGGAGTTTAGAATACCGAAGGAGAGCTACCTAAGGAGTTCATACTTTTACCTTACAAGATATGATAGGAAACATGGAAAATTTTCAAGTACTTTTTATTCCAAAATGATCTTCAACTGACAGCACCTTTTAAGTATAATTTTTTTTTGCATATTCAAGAATCACCAAAGACCATTGTTTATTATGGTATTAGACATTATATTCAAGAGAAACAATTTTTGGCTTAAAGATCTCACCCTTCCAATATAAGGGCAACCAATGTGTACACATAAAATGATTAAAAGGTATAGAAATTCCTGTTGGGTGGGGTAATGAAACCAATCGGGCCTGCTGAATGATCTCTTGTGAACAGCCTGACACACAAGGTGACCATGTTTCCAAATGTTGAAGCTGTTTAGATTTTTAGAATCCAAATCAATGGTGGTTACTGATCCCCGGAACTGATCATCCTCTGGGAGATACAGCCTCCAGAGCTTAGGTTGCTGCCACCAGGTCTATAATCTGCACTTCAGGGCTTCATTCTAAAATCCTGAGAATGGATAAAACAAAGCACCTCACGAAAAGGCAAATGTTCCAGGCTCCAAAACTCAGCTGCTGGTGTTCCTTCTGCTAATATGCAACCTTATGACAGGCTGCTCCCTTCAATATCCTATATTAAGCCCGCCATCCAGCTTTGTCGGGTTTGCGCAGTCCTCAAGGCGGGCCGGGGTTCTGGGTCCTTAAATCTGCCGACCCGAGGCGCCTGCCGCGGTAGCCCTCCACAAAGTCCATAGTGAAAAGAAGTATAATAAATTAAGGAATAAAAAAAACATTTCTTCAAGTCCTGGAGCTCTAGAATATTTCCAGTGTTTTCCATTCTAAAATTGTTTTCCTAATGCTTAAATGCCAAGAATTAAAAAGAAAATGTTTTTGATTGAGGAAAATTTGAGACCCAACAATGGAAAGACTGGTATCTTTTATGTACATCTCCAAGATTTAATAGATAATGTTTGTCATTCTTGTTTTAGCGTGGTCTGTATAAGAGTGAATTCCAGACATCTTGTCATTTTTCCTATAAATACTTAAAGAGTTAAGGCATGTGATGTTGTGTTGCTGTGTAGATTTTCTAAGTAGTCCCACTTTAATATAAAAAATTATTTGAGGGCTGAGTATGTGGCTCAAGCGGTAGGGCGCTCGCCTGGCATGCGTGCGGCCCAGGTTCGATCCTCAGTACCACATACAAACAAAGATGTTGTGTCCGCCGAAAACTAAAAAATAATAAACATTAAAAAAATTCTCTCTTAAAAAAAATTATTTGAAAACTGAATTTTTATCATGTAGCAATGAATTTATTAAAGTATTCCTTATAGTGTAATAAAAGTTACAAAATAAGCAAATTTACAGTTAGTTTTTCAAGAATACAAAGTGTATAATCCAAGATTTATTTAGAAACATTTATTCTGAGGAACTTCAAATACTATATAAAATACAGTTCTGAAACATTTCTCCAGTGTTGTTTTTCTCCATTCACTGCCACTTTTCTTTTATCTGAATTAATATAAGAATTCACCTGTCTTCCTTGCCTCTAATATTTCCATTTTGTAGTCCGTTTTCCTTATCCACAGGACTCGCTTTCTGAAACACAAATGGAATAGTTATGTTATAGCCCTACTTAAAAATATCTAGCCGATTTCAAAGTTATTTTGCAACTAGGTCCTTTCTCTAGTCCCTTCAGAGAACTCCATTCCTTCTAATACTAAATACACTGTAAAACTGCTATTTGACCCACTGTTTTTCTTATTCACTTTTATGGCACTCCTTTTGACAGAAATACCCACCTCTATTAATTCATTTGTCTGACTAGAAAATTCTTACTGTTCTTTTGAGGCTTAGATAAAATCATTATCTTCTTTTTGATAGCTTTGTTAGACATGACCTGTTATAGAATTAGATAATCCCTTATCTATATTCCTGTAACACTTGACATAACCCTTGTAAGTTCTTATCATAGTGTGCTATAGTTATTTACATTCCTGTCCCTTAGGCATCTTCTTACTTCCATCCCTACCTGACTGCAAGCCACAGGTAATTCCCAGCAGTCAGCACAGTGCCTTGTACATCGTAGGAATTCAGTAATAGTTAATTGAAATTAGTCATTTTTTTAGCATCAACATTTAAGATGTTATTGGGTATGCTATGTTTTATTTCCAACACATTATTGTAACAGACTTTAACAACAAAGCTAGAATGAAACTTCTTTAGTTTATTATAGTTATCAAACAATTTTTTTCAATAAGTGCCAATTGGGGGGAACCTGACACTTTTGTCAAATATGAGTTGTTAGACATGAAATCTGCTTATTTATCCTGTAGTCAGAGGATAGTGAAGATACTTTGCTAGCACAATGAGCTTGAAGTATTAAAACAATGGGAAGCAATATGAGTGAGGAAGTATATTTTAACATTGGCTTCAAAAGTATATTATTAGGCTTAAGGAGGGTTTTGTAAAATATTTCTTAGTGAATTTAACAAGTCAATAGAGAGAGCATGATTTAACAGTTCTTTACATATTTTGTTTTTGTATGTGTGGGGCTGGGCATTGAAACCAGCCTTGTGCATGCTTATATAAATTGTTATGAAATGTTGGGTGTCTTTTTGTTTGTTTGTATTGGTACCAGGGATTGAACCCAGGGGTGCTTAACCACTGAGCCACATTCCCAGCACTTTTTATATTTTATTTAGAGGCAGGGTCTCACTGAATTGGTTAGGCCTCACTAAATTGCTGGGGCTGGCTTTGAATTTGTAATCCTTCTGCCTCAGCTTCTGTCACTGCGATTACAGGTATGTGCCAAGATGCCCAAGCAAAATGTTACTTCTTAATGTTATTGTTTTTGTTATATTTATTTTGTAGAATGCTTTCTGTTCCTTCTTGTTAATTGCACTGCAGTTTTTCCTAAGACCACTAGAATGCACTAGAATGCAATATTTTCTGCTTATAAATGTTTCTTTTTCCTTTTTTTGTTTTTTGTAGACATATAAATTCATAAATTTTCTTCTCACTTTATTTTAAAAGCCTTAATATAACCTTTCCTTGGACCATGTAGGTTCAGTTGCTATTTGGGCTCCTATGGAAATAGTATTACTTTGTCTTATGGTAGATGAAGTATATTTCTGGAAAATCTGAAGAATGACAATGACATTAAGAATCTTGTTTACTTTCTGGTAATTGTAAGTCAAATTAATTATAAATCTTTACTACTTATGATCAACATTATTGTAAATACGTTGAAATAGATTTAGAAAAAATTTAGTCTGGTGATAATATTTCTCATTAAGGAACATTGGGAATAGAAATCCCCAGTGAACAAAAACAATTGAGACACAGGAAATAGAAATAACTTGGACCAAACATATTTACTAAAAAATTTTTTAAAAGATAGATACAT